CCACCATGCCCAGCTAATTTTTTGTAGTTTTAGTAGAGACAGGGTTTCACCATGTTGACCAGGATAGTCTCGATCTCTTGACCTCGTGATCCACCCGCCTTGGCCTCCCAAAGTGCTGGGATTACAGGCTTAATAAGTTATATTTCATTCTAGCCAAGCGTGGTGGCTCACGCCTGTTAATTGCAACTCTTTGGGAGGCTGAGGTGGGTGAATCACTTGACGTCAGGAGTTCAAGACCAGCCTGGCCAGCACGGTGAAAGCCCATCTCTACTAAAAACATAAAAATTAGCTGGGCATGCTGCTGTGTACCTGTAATCCCAGCTACTTAGGAGGCTAAGGTAGGAGAATCACTTGAACCTGGGACGTGGAGTTTGCAGTGAGTCGAGATTGTGCCACTGCACTCTAGCCTGGGCAACAGAGTGAGACTCTCTCAAAAAAAAAAAAAAAAAGTTGTATTTCTTTCCATCTCTCCTTTTTTTTCCCTCTTAGATTCAGATATCTCACTCTGTCACCCAGGCTGGAGTGCTGTGGGGCGACCATGGCTCACTACAGCCTCAAACTCCCAGGCTCAAGCAATCCTCCCACCTCAGCCTCTTGAGTAGCTGGGACCCCAGGCACAAGCCACCATACCCAGCCAACTTTTTACTTTTTTGTAGAGACAGGGTCTTGCTATGTTGCCCAGGCTGGTCTCTAATTCCAGGATGCAAGTGATCACCCCACCTCCGCCTCCAAAAGTGCTGGGATCACGTGTGTGAGCTACTGTGCCCAGCCTCCGCAGCTTCTCACTTCCCTGCTTCTGTTGTATTTTTCAGTTTGTATCACTGAATACACATCTCTCAACAGATTTGGAATCACACAGCACTTGGATGTGAGGTACGGAACACATGAGGAAAAGCAGCGTCTTAAGGTCCCACAGGACTGCGCAGCAGAGTCCCGTGGGATAGTGTCCTGAGATTCTGTAGGATCGCATGGAGGTCAGTCACAGGACACCTCATCCTGCTTTCAGACCTAGCCCCAGGAGACCCACCATCAAGAGGCTTCCTTTAAGGTCGTCGCACTGCTCATGAACACCTGGGAATTTCTTATGTTAAATGCTTATTACAGTTTTTATGCTTCTAATTTTTTTCAAATTATAAAAGTACTGTATGGCCATCAACAGTAGATTAGATAAAGAAAATGTGGTACATCTATACCATGGGATATTATGGAGCCATAAAAAAGAACAAAATCATGTCCTTTGCAGCAACGTGGATGGAGCTGGAGGCCATTATCCTAAAGGAACTGTACAGGAACAGAAAAACAAACACCACACGTTCTCACTTATGAGTAGGAACTAAACACTGACCACACATGGACACGAAGGAGGAGGAGCAGTCACCAGGGCCTGCCTGAGGGAGGAGGGAGAAGCAGTCACCAGGGCCTGCCTGAGGGAGGAGGGAGGAACAGTCACCAGGGCCTGCCTGAGGGAGGAGGGAGGAGAAGGGGGAGGATGGAAAAGCTGCCTATTGGGTACTATGCTATCGCCTGGGAAATAGTCCCTATACCAAACCCCCGTGACATGCAGGTTACCTAATAAGGAACCTGTGCATGTACCCCTGAACCTAAAAGGAAAGTTTAAAAGAGTACTATAATTTCCATTCAAGGGTACTAATTTTCCATACTGAAAATCAGGGCAATTCAAATACTGCATCTTACATTTTAACATCTTATACCTGGATGCGTCATATGTCCACTGGCTTTTTACAGGTAACTGGCAGTTTTTACAGGTAACTGGCACTTCTCTTAGTGGTACATGAAAAGAAGACATACTGTACACAGTAGACAGCAAGTACACGGTTAAATTCACCTGCAATTTAACTACTCATAAAAAACTACTGTTTACTTTTTTGGCATATTGAAGTCCCTTTTAAAAACTTCTGTCGGCCGGGCGCAGTAGCTCAAGCCTGTAATCCCAGCACTTTGGGAGGCCGAGGCGGGTGGATCACGAGGTCAAGAGATCAAGACTATCCTGGTCAACATGGTGAAACCCCCGTCTCTACTAAAAATACAAAAAAATTAGCTGGGCATGGTGGTGCGTGCCTGTAATCCCAGCTACTCAGGAGGCTGAGGCAGGAGAATTGCCTGAACCCAGGAGGCGGAGGTTGCGGTGAGCCGAGATCGCGCCATTGCACTCCAGCCTGGGTAACAAGAGTGAAACTCCGTCTCAAAAAAAAAAAAAAAAAACTTCTGTCTACAGATCGGACTCATGGTCTCTGGACGGTTTTGTGGCTGGCTCTCTGGTCCTATTTATCCCTCCTCATCGTCACACAAGCATGGGTCTCTGAGGAACTGGAGGGGACACAGAATGTAGCCAGCCCTGCCGCAGGTTCTGTGGCATGTGAAGCTACAATGTGACTGAGGCCACAGCGTAACCACGGGCGCTGGCCCACGCCTGGCTTTGCATGCGCCTCAGAAGGACCAGGAAGGAGGTACAGGAGCTCTGGAGGGCCGTGTAGCTCAGCCCTCAGGAGCACGGATATCACAGTGCTGCCTTCTCCTCAGCAAACAGCTGCTGGGGCAGACCTCGAGGTGACAGTGTGCTACCGTCACAGACAGGCAAGGACTCCTCAGACAACTGCTTCCTCAATACCGTCACAAAGCAGTGTTTAACACATCAACGCCGTAAAGCATTCCTGACAGTATGGTTTGCAAATACAGAGCAGACTCTCGGTTCCTTAGGATATTCTGGCAACACAGCCATGTGTTCCGAGGGCTTCCAAAGGTTCCGGCTGGGCCTGTGGAGCAATGCCCCAATGGCCCCGAGGAGGGACTCTCACTGTTACCAGCAAGATTCAATTCCCTGCATGAAATGCGTGACTCATTTCCTGTGCACATCCACACAAGCTGAAGAGGCATAATTAACAAATCGTACTTAGGACTGGAAGGGATCAGGGGACAAGCAGAAGCTCCTGGTATCTTCGATCAGGTGGTAAACTTCTACACAAGGTCAGACAGTAAATAATCAGGCTCAAAGGGCCACAAGTCACTGTGTGCTGGCAAAGAGCCCAGACAGTGTGCAAATCGTGGTCATAGCTTCATGCCAATGTTTATAAAATTGGTGGTGGGACAGTCATCTGCGGACCCTGCGTTAAACAGAGACAGAATTTTGGACAGCAGTGGAACCCAAGAGAGAGAAAAGCAGTCAGGAGAGTGAAAGGGCATCTGTGCCTGCTGCAGAAGCACCAGGCTTCAAGCTAAGATGGCAAAGAAGAGGCACTTCCAGCCGGGCACAGTGGCTCACTCCTGTAATCCCAGCACTTTGGGAGGCTGAGGCAGGCGGATCATGAGGTCAAAAGATGGAGGCCAGCCTGGCCAACATGGTGAAACTGTCTCTACTAAAAACACAAAAATTAGCTGGGTGTGGTGGCACCCGCCTGTAGTCCCAGCTACTCAGGAGGCTGAGGTGGAAGAATCACTTGAACTCAGGAGGCGGAGGTTGCAGTGAGCCAAGACTGCGCCACTGCACTCCAGCCTGGTGACGGAGTAAGACTCCAGCTCAAAAAAAAAAAAAAAAAAAAAAAAGGCGTCCTGAAACCAGCCATTTTCACATGCCTGGCACCTACAAACCACAACACAGTGGCCGACAGGAAGCTCCTGACCAGAGTAGGGTGGCCCAGGAAGCAAAGGCCTCCTTCCCAGAGGCAAGTGGGTAGGGTGTGTCTGGAGCCAAGGCAGGAGCCATCCTGGGAGCGCACGAAGGAGGGACGGGGAGGAAGGAGACGGTGTCAGAACAAAGAGAGTGACATGGAGCAACCCTCCACCCAACACAGACAGACATATACACAAAAGCCAAGCCAGCCAACTGAGGACCTATGTGCCCGCCTCTCCCTGAGCTGTTCTTTGCCAACTGCAGGCTCCACCTGAAGAGAAGGCATCACAGTGAAGCTGCCACAAGAGAGCCCTGGACATCCAGGGGTGAGGCCGCGGGCCACAGTCAGCAACACACAACCTCAGAGAAAGTTATCTTGCAAAAAGCTCAAGGGACAGATACAAGACTTCAGAGAAGAGATAATAGGAAAAGAGGTGCAAAGTGAGCTGGGAGAGCTCAGAAGAAAGGGTGATCCGAGAAGAGGCTTCCAAGGAAAGCTGGCATATGCCCGGGAGCTCGGAAAGAAAGCTGTGCTCCATTCTCGCAACACTCCAAGGCCCTTCCCAGCGTGGACCCCAAAATCCAGGCACTGACTCCCCATCTTACCCTTCAAATACTCTCTGATCCGCTCCTTCAGTTCCACAGATTTGTTTTTGCTTCTTTCACAAATTACCTATTGAAAAAAAAGTGTGTCTAAATCTTATCGTAACATTTCCTTATCAGTATAATGATTTTAGAAAGTGAGTTAAAGTCAGTGAAGTGGAATAGTATATTAATGCTAAAGATTTAATAAAGCTCACACTCAAAAAATGTGTGAAGAGTATGACCTGTTTCTAGAAGCCTCAGGGAACAGGTAAGAGAACACACTCTGGGATTCTGGGTATATTTACCTCTTCTCCGTGCTGCCCTACACTTTCTAACGTCTGCAAGAAGAGGAAACTTAAACGTGCACCATCGAGTAAAAGCAGAAGCATGTGAGCACGTCTGCATTTTCAGTCGTCTGAGTTTCACTTACAGGAAGCCTGGTCATATATAAACTTTCCGTTGTGAGGTTCAGTCAAGGTGGAGGTCCTAACACGGAACACAAAAGTTCTATTTTTGCAACTACAGATGACAGAAATCAGCTTTCTCGGCCCTTGGAGAGTTGCAGCAATAAGAATTTTTGCTAGAAACTATAGAAAAACCAACAACCTTCCAATAAGAGGAAAGAAAGGAACCAGCCTCTGAGAGAAACTAAAACTATCAATGCAATTACATTTTTGAGTTTGTAACTAACTGTTGAGCTTGAAAAAGTCAAACGCTTTTACTTAAAATGCCAGGAGTTTTAAGTTGGTTACCAAATAAGATTTTTATGTTGAAGAAGTGCAGATATACATATATATATACACAGAAAATCCAATCACATCCATGCAACATAATGGCAATTTCTCAGTTGTAGAATTTTCTGGTGAATTTTATTCTTTCTGGTGATGTGGTATTTTAAACTGCTTATGCCTATGTAATAACAGGAATTACAGAGGGGGTGTAGGAGAGAACACTGCCACCAGAAGATCCTTACAGCTTTTCTTTCTAAAGGGCTGGGAAACCGTGAGCAGCTCACAGCTGTGATGCAGAACAAATCAAACTTGTCCTTCAGTTCTCACAGGGTCCGATCCCTCTTGCACCTTCTGGGCATAAAACACACGTCTGCCCTCTGTAAGGTGCACTTTGCTCAGTTCATAATGCCTGACAGACATGGCTTGTCTGGGTCAGATGAGCATAAGTGTGTGAGCAGCTTAGCACAGTGCCTAGTACACACTGAGCTGAATACCATCTAGCTGCTTTCAGCGGCATCACCCTCACCATCACCATGATCACTATCTTCACCCTCACCACCATCACCACCACCCTCACCATCACCATCACCACCACCACCATCACCACCATCACCCTCACCATCACCCTCGCCACCCTCACCATCACCATCTTCAGCACCATCACCATCCTTACCACCACCATCATCCTCACCACCATCATCCCCATCACCACCATCACCCTCGCCATCACCATGATCACTATCTTCACCCTCACCACCATCACCACCACCCTCGCCATCACCACCACCACCATCACCACCATCACCCTCACCATCACCATCTTTAGCACCATCACCATCCTTACCACCACCAACATCCTCACCATCGTCATCCCCATCACCACCACCACCATTACCACCTCTGTTCTCTTTGACTCTGGCCAACTGATGGGTTCAGAGAGGGAACTTGGTAAAAGACTGTGAGCTGTTCAGAGCAATTGACTGCCAGTTTTAGGAAAATAAAATCAAATGAATTCACCAAACTGTGTGAGTTCCTCCCCTCCTGGTTCCACTGATGCATCACCTTCACAAAATGCATCTTACTCAACAGCAGGACTCTCACATGTGCCCGTAAGGCAAACACAACTCATACATCGCTCCATGTGGCTTCACTGTGCCTGTCTGTGACCACAGACTGTAAAGTTACATATTTTCATCTCTAACTCTAGAGAGTGACTACATTTTAACAAGTACTTACGTCTTCAGGTGTTTTATCGTATTTATTCCTTGGATTTTTTACAGTCAAATGATGTGACGAAAGCACATTGACTACGTCTGCATTTCCAAACTTACACGCAAAATGCAACGGTGTGTCATAGCCCTGAAAAAAGGTACAGAGAAAACGCAATTATTTACACTTCTCTCATGAGGTGGCTCTAAGGTGAAAATACTTAACGCATTTTTTTAAAAAAGACTCACAAAGAAAATGGCTAAAAAAAACACTTCTTTTTTTTTTTTTTTTTTTTTTTTTTTTTTTTTTTTTTGAGACGGAGTTTCGCTCTTGTTACCCAGGCTGGAGTGCAATGGCGCGATCTCGGCTCACCGCAACCTCCGCCTCCTGGGTTCAAGCAATTCTCCTGCCTCAGCCTCCTGAGTAGCTGGGATTACAGGCACGCGCCACCATGCCCAGCTAATTTTTTGTATTTTTAGTAGAGACGGGGGTTTCACCATGTTGACCAGGATGGTCTCGATCTCCTGACCTCGTGATCCACCCGTCTCGGCCTCCCAAAGTGCTGGGATTACAGGCTTGAGCCACCGCGCCCGGCGACACTGCTTTTATAATGGAAAAATAATTGGCATTCTAGCACATACCCACTTCATGCCAAGGCTTGAGCTCAGCCACGGACCTTGGTGCCCAGACCCTGGAGGAGCTTACATTCTCCACAAACAGTGAACAGTGGCTTTAATCTTTCAGGTCCCAGTATAATGTCACACAACACATGCCCAAAAAGTGAAATAAACCCCATGGTGAAAAAAAAGGCTTCCGGGGGTAGAAGGGGTCAAGAGAAGGAAAAACCTGTCCTTAGCACCCTTTAAAAGAGGGGTGTTCCCCCTGTACAGTGCTGCCTCTGCATGGGCCTGGCCTGGCTGGCTGGCACTCGTCAGTGACTCTAACCTGCCTGTTTGCTGCACTTGGGATGAGACAACCTCACAGGTCAGGTGGAGGGTGGGGCGTGGGCACCAGCCAGGATTGCTGTCACCTACCCTCAGGAGCTACGAAGATCCTTCCTGTTTGTAAGCGGTCACACCCCAGCAGCCTGTATCCTACACCAGGACCCCGTGTGTCAGGGTGTCAGGTGGCGTGATCTGCAGGGGCAGCTCTGTGCCTTAGGGGCTCTTGGCAGGATGCTGAGGGCTTGCCTGCCGTGTGCATGGCTCTGCCACTCCCAGGGGGAAAAAGCTGCTCAGCTCAAGGTTTTCTGCTCAGTAGAGTGTGTGTTCTCTGACAACCATGTCCCCAGAGAGTTTAGACGCCCCTGGGGACGGCACTCCACACACGACAAAGACACAGGGGCCAGGGAACCCCAGCACCTGGCACCCTTTGTCCAGGGTTAAAATCATCCTGTGGGATCTGGTGAGAAGTTAGGTCGCAGGGGTGTAACTGATGTAGTTATTCTAATGAGTCACTTGTGAATAAAGCATTCTTTTAAGAAAAAACCTTAAAAGGTTAAAACATAAAAGCGCGACTGGAGGGTGAGCACGCACCATCTTGTCGGGGGTGTTCAGGTAGAGGTCGACGACATAACGGATGCGCTTCTGCAGCATGGCCTCGTCGTCATCGGGGTACATCAGCCTCATGAAGTCGGGGTTCTCCAGGACGTCCAGAGTCAGCTGGCAGATGGAAGCCTGGTCCTCCTTGGCGGCAACATGCATCACGTTGTACCTGCACCCTTCCTGAAAGAGAACCATGTGCTCTGAGCTTCCTCCCTGTCTCATGTGGACGCACCCCGTGGAAAGTGCCGCAGCCACGAAGGAACCTGTGACGCTGCACACCCACCTGCACGATGGTTGGGTTGTCCCCTGAGCCAATCAGATACCGGGGGTTGCTCCAGATGAGATCAGAAAAGGTGTCCTCCTCTCCCTTCTCCACAGCTTTCCGAAGCTTGGCAGTGAGGTCTTGCGTGCGGGGATTTTTGTAACTGTTGGCTCGCTCTTTGTTGACCGTTTCTGATTCAGACAAGCACAAACCATCTGTCAGTAAGAGACAGAATTAAAGAATGATTAGTTTCACCAAAAGTCACTCATCACCCACACACGCTGTAACCAGGGATAAAGAGCTTTCAGGGCTGGCTCATGCCTGTAATCCCAGCACTTTGGGAGGTTGAGGCGGGCAGATCACGAGGTCAAGAGTTCAAGACCAGGCCGGGCATGGTGGCTCAAGCCTGTAATCCCAGCACTGTGGGAGGCCGAGGCGGGTGGATCACGAGGTTAAGAGATCGAGACCATCCTGGTCAACATGGTGAAACCCCGTCTCTACTAAAACTACAAAAAATTAGCTGGGCATGGTGGTGCGTTCCTGTAATCCCAGCTACTCAG